GCCTCCTTGTCTTCAGTCTCCCCCCGTCTGGGGCCACAATAACACCCATTCCACCTTGCTCTTATCTTTTACCCGCCTAAGCCAGACATTCCAAAGAGAGGCCCATTTTACTGTAACATTTAAGCAACAGGAAAAACCCTGTCCCTCTGGCTGGTGTAGAAACCTCCCTCCTTTGGGATAATATAGAGCAATATTGTAATATGCCCCTTCAAGGGGAGCCTTGCACCCGCTGTTTGGTGGTCCTGTCCCTTGCTCTGTTCTTTTAGACTTGGCCCCGGGGTTGCCACTTTTGTTCTAGCAAAATACAGGACAGGGCGGAGGGGGCGGGGGTGGGCGATTCCCCCCCTACACCTGGTGCCGAAATGACTTCAAAGCATCTATTGCAATCTATTGCAGCCTAACCAGATGACCCTTTTGCAATTTGTCACACACACCTACAGACACGAATTTCTAAATCTGTCTGTCCTTTGCTACCCAGAACTTCAACACATGACCTGACACGCACATGCAGTACTGTGCGACAATACATGCCGGCCAAAAATAAGTAAGGGGGGGAGGATATTCTGCTGAGGGGACAAGCTTTTTCCACATGCTAAATTTCTGACAGAAAAGAAAATATTAGGGGGCAGAAGGAGGGCAAGACTTGTGGAGAGCTACTGGGAATCAGAGAATCGCAGAGTTGAAAGGGACCCCGAGGGTCATCTAGTCCAACCCGCTCAATGCAGGAATCAACAAAAGCATCCAGGACAGATGGCTACCCAACCTCTGCTTTAAAACCTCCAAGGAAGGAAATCCACAACCTCCTGTTCCTCTGTCAAACAGCTCTTACTGAGAGAAAGTTCTTCCCAATGTTTAGTTGGAATCTCCTTTGTTGCAACTTGAAGCCATTGGTTCAAGTCCTGCCCTCCAGAAAACAAGCTTGTTCCATCTTTCCTGCGACAGCCTTTCAGATATTTGGCTCTCCTGTCTCCTCTCAGTCTCCTCTTGTCCAGGCTAAACATACCCAGCTCCTTCAACCGCTCCTCACCAGGCTTGGCTTCTCCCCCACCCTCCTCTCTCAAATATCATGTAGATAATAACCATGTTCAGAATTGGGGCTTCTGGGCTACACTGACACAAAACCGCTTGTTTCTAGAGTCTCGGAACCTGTTGCTCTCTGAGGGATGGAGTCCAGTGCTCCCAGGCTGCAGCTCTGTGGACGGGGGCCTTAACCCAGCCGGAGCTCTCAGAGAACTGGAAGCGACAACACAAAAGCCTTGCCCTTCCAGCTCGACGAGTCTATGGTTCTGTGACGTGGCCCAAATTGCAGTCATGCAAGCACAATCACCGCATACCCTACAACATTTCTCTGATGAAAATAGGGACTATAATTCTATAATAATAACTTTACTAATTTACTAATTTACCCATCTGACTGGGTTGCTCCAGCCACTCTGAGCGGCTTCCAACACATATAAAAACATAATTCATTGGGTCCCAAATGCCTTGGTACTCAGACATTTTGGCTCCTGAACACTGCAAACCTGGAAGTGAGTGTTCCAGTTTGCGAATGTTCTTTGCAACCCAAACGTCCAACGGGTCTTCCGCGGCTTCCAATTGGCTGCAGGAGCTTCCTGCAGCCAATCAGAAGCCGTGCTTGGGTTTCTGAATGTTTTGGAAGTCGAACGGACTTCCGGAATGGATTCTGTTTGACTTCCAAGGTACGACTGTAAAACAATAAACATTTTTTTAAAGCGTTCCCTAAGCAGGGCTGCCTTCAGAGGGCTTAGGGGTCGGATAACTGCATACCCTCCAACATTTCTCCAGTGAAAATAGGAACACGCTAAGGAAAACCGAGACGCTCCGGGATCAAATGAGAAACTGGCACGGCTCCTGTAAATCTAGGTTTGCACCTGGAAAACAGGGACACTTGGCAGGTCTCTCACTGCCAACCCTCAGAGGAACCCAAGACCCGTCTAAGGTCCCCAAGACCTCATTTCCCAGAGCTCAAAGCAAGTGAGGCCAACAAAGCGATCTGAATAAATCAATTATTTCAGGGCATCTGACTGGTCTTGTGATTGATTCTTCCTGGCAACAAGCTGCCGCCACCATTAGCTGATTGTTTCTTGAGAGGGGAGGCTTTTGTCTGAATAGCATCCCGTGGTGGGGAAGAAGGATTTGAAGGTGGGGAGGGAGGAGGGGGCTCAGTGGGGCTTGTCAGCTGGCAAGGAATATTGGGCTTGAGATCCCCACCAGATCCTTTATGTGCAGGCAAACACATCCGCCTTTCGAGTTCCTTACTAGAGGGAAAGACTTCCTGGTCTAGGTGTTCCTCTGAATAGAATACAGTGGTACCTCAGGTTTGTTCTTAACCTGAAACTGTTCTTAACCTGAAGCACCACTTTAGCTAATGGGGCCTCCTGCTGCTGCCACGCCACCGGAGCACAATTTCTGTTCTTATCCTGAAGCAAAGTTCTTAACCTGAAGCACTATTTCTGGGTTAGCGGAGTGTGTAACCTGAAGCGTATGTAACCCGAGGTACCACTGTAATTGTGCTTATTGCCCTGACGGGTATTTACTGAGGACTTGGTGCAGCATGGAAGTTTTCCCACAGCATCCACGCAACATGATCCTCATCAAAATGTCTTCCCATTTCAATTTCCCATTTAAATCCAGATGTACCATTTCAATGGACAAATCTGGCATTAAAAATACAAAGAAGAATTTGGGGTGGCATTCTCATCAGGATGATGTCCTGTGGCTACTGCAAAAAAACAAAACAAGCATTGCACTCACGAGTAGCATCAATTCCACAATAAACTTAACATATGGAACCCTTCCAAATTGTGAAACAACAATATAATGTCAGCCATGAATATCTGAAAAAAGACAGAGTAAAAAAAAGATGTAGCCTCTGAGCTTGAACAGAGTGCTTTCCCCTATGCATTAAGTAGACTGCTTAGATAGAAGGGGAAAGCTTAAGTGGTATATAAATCTTTCTAAATAAAATTTTAAAAATAGTTGCAACTTCCTCATGTGCAAAAGTATTTGGCCATAGATTTTTACAGCTGCTCAAAAAACTGGTAGCCTCTGAACATTTGCAGAGTGCCATTTCCCTGTGCATTGATGAGATGCAACCCGCTACGCCTTTAAAAACTGGCAAGGGCGCTAGGCATTTGAAGCAAAACACACGCACAAAGAAATGGTAAATCCTGAGCATGTGCAGAGTGCCTTCTCCTGCACAATGATTAGATGCTCCCCACCCCTATGCAAACCATTCCGCCATCTATTGTTCTGTCCCAAAACTCAGCAGCCCGATCTCGTAATCCATTCTCCCACCAGATTATTAAGACTCTCCTCTGCCTGTGATCATTAGGTCTCATTTCTCACGGTCATTATTTGAGCCCTCAAGAGGATAAAGTAGGGCACGGACAGGAGCACATTTAAATCTGGGATTTGGGCGCAGGCTGGACAAGGAGCTTAGACCCCAGCACCTCTGCTTTCAGAAACTAAGCATCAGCGGCCAGTCATCTCTGCATCTCTAGAGAAGCACCTCCCGCAACCAGCAGAGAAGGAGCGAGAGGCTGGAGCACAGGAAATGAAAATATCTTGGAGAGGAAAGAGGGCAAAGAGCCCAGAGATGAGTGGAAAAGGCACGTAGATATGATAAAATTGGCCAGAAGTGTAGCCTTCTTAGACTTTACCGACTGGTGGGGTCTGCGTTGCTCCCGGACGGGAGGAAGGAAGTCAAATGACACTGACGTTTGGTTCAGAGAAAGAGTTTATTCTGTTCTCCGGATAGCAGAAGGCATTTGCATGGTCAGTCCACAGCAAGTCCAAAGAAATGAGAAATTTCATGCAGTATATATATCCTCCAGGCACCCTCTCCCCCCTTCCCCAGGAATCCAAACACATCAGCTTATACACGTAAGTTGACATCCATGACCATAAACAGATATTCCTGTTCTGGTATTCCTTACCATAAAAGGTTGTTCCTGTTCCTATACTCTTATCTTGGGGCAGGAGGTCACCAACTAAGAACACTCCTGGCACCGTTCCCGGACAAGGTCTGTGCATCTTTGTGGTCAGGAAGTAAGATAAGACCCAGATGTGTCATCCCTGCTCCACTTTGGAATGGACAAGGCCATTCATTAGGCGTCACGGACTGATAAAGGAGAGAGCTTTGAGCACTTGTTTATACAGCTGGGTTTTGGCTCAAGAGCTCAAGTTAAAGCACTTTAGAAATGCTCCCTTGGAGAAGGAAAAATGTGGATTTGGGGGGCCCGTTTCAGACTGACTGCCCAGTCAGGTTTTAGGTTTTGGAAACCCATCCCTTCAGAAGAAGAACTGGATTCAGGGGAGGCTGAGGCCTCCAAGTATGGCTGGTCAGATGTCACCAGACCCAGTGGAAGATGCTCCCCTCCACTGTTAAGAGGTAGGATCAAGGCCGGCTGAAAACATTTTGCTGCCTGAGGCAAAGAACAAAAAGCACCCACCCACCCATTTCACAGAGAGCGGGCTAACGGAACTGACTACTAAATTCTATTTCAGTGCTAGTAATGGTGTAGAGATAAAAGTGGTGGGCAAGTTGCATGACACACAACTCTCTTCTCTAACCGAAAGTTGTGGTCCAGGAACTCAGGATGAAGAACTGAGAGGCACCGCCGCCTCCCAGTATATGCCGCCTGAGGCAGTCATCTCGCTCTGCCTAAGGGTAGGACCGGCCCTGGGCAGAATGAATCAGGGGCAAAAGAAGGAATCCTTTTCTCTTCCTTGCCTGCACCACCGTTTCCATATTGCTGCAGTTCCCCTTCTGCCAGAAGCAATGTTATTAATCTTGTGGCCATCCTCAGCAAGAACAGTCAATGGGAATGGAAGATGGGAACTGTAGTTCAGCAATATCTAGAGGGCTGAAGTTCCCCACCTGTGCTGCAAGTTTTGCATGGACATGGCCATAGGATGGGAAGAAAGAGGACCCCTCACTCCTCTGTGCCTGACATATTTTCTCTCTACCTCAACAGATTGATCAAGATGGTCTGACGTTGTCCGAGAGGACCCTCTACCTGGGACAGGATGAGGAGAGCGAAAAGGTGAGTGAAAAGGGTGAACACACAGGTAAATATTAAGCTGGGGGAATTTAAAATATATGAATCCCTGTGGACCCACAGGTGTGGGTAAAGAACAAAATAATCAGCTGGGTGCCTGGGTTCAAAACTGCAGGTCTTGCACACTGTAGGGTCATCTGCTCCGACCCCTTGCAAGGCAGGAATCTTTTCCGCAACATGAAACTCGAACCCATGACCTGGAGCCAGACATTGCCATATACTGGTGGCATGGAATGACAGTGTTCCTCAGTATTTGCATAAGAAATAAAATCATGCTGTATCTCAGGAAAATGGCCATTCGAGCTCTGCCCATTTAGCTTGTCAAATGCCTTTTCAAGAAGGACCGTTCGACCAAACCCAGCCTGCTAATTCCTTCGTCCCTTTGCAGATCTTGGCTGCCTATCGCATCTTCATGGAGAGGCTGTTGAGCCTGCTGGGCGCTGAGAACGTGGAGCAGAAAGCCAGCGAGATTCTGCAGCTGGAGCAAAGGCTGGCCAACGTGAGTCTGCCCATTCCTCTTCTCCTTTCTGAAGGTGGAGGCGGGGCTCGAGCGGAAAAGTAAATGAGGGGTGGGGTCCAGGGCTGGCCATTCCTGGAAGAGGCAGCCTGTGTCAGATCATACCCCAGCAGTGGACTTCTGGAGCAATTCGTAGTCCCGAGGAGGGATTGGGGAGGAATTTGTTTTGGTTTGCATTTCGCTGAGAGCTTAGCCGATCTGAAACAATGTGCAAACTGGAACATGGTGTTCCTTTAGCATTTGCACATTTCTGAATTTTGCAGCGCACTTCTCCAGCCAAATAGTGTGCAGGAAAATACAGCTGGTAACAGGGAGTATGCCTAAAATGTGCATTTATCCATGAAAATAATGCACAGAGATATGCGTTATTTTGGAGGGAATTGCTTGCAATGTCAGGGGACATAGTGACAAATCTTTGTGAGAATTTTTTAAAAGTACTGTAAGGTCGCAAACCAATGCAGAAACGTGGCAAGCTTGAACTTATGATGGTAAAAGTTAGAAATGGAGAGTGAAATTGACAGATTCATCCACCCCTAGTTCTGAGTCGCAGGGGCAGAGCTCACCTGGGGCAATGCTGATTGTCCCAGGGGAGCTGCTACACCTGTCCACCTGTATTTCCCACCTGCCAGCCCTAAACAATCTCCTGTGAGCACATGCTGGAGGGAAATGAGATGAATGTGGGGGTCACATGGGGCAAGATGCTGAGTCGTTTGTATCTCACAGGTTTTCAGATTTGCTATGTAAGATCTCCTTATCTGCATTTAAAACGTGAGATTCTAGCTGACAATTCTGAGGGCGTTTGGGGTGTGCGTTTTGCATTAAAACACAATCCAACCGGCACATGCGCACTACCTAGCTGTCATCTCTTTTCCCTAGAGAATCCTGGGAAACGTAGTTCCCTAAAGAGAGGACTGAGATCTCTAACATCACTCTCACCTAGCTGCCATTTCCAGGATTCCTGGGGGTGGGCTTTTTTCTGTTTCTTTCCTATTACATTTATACCCCCCTTCCCTCTAAGCAGCTCAAGACAGTGTATGTGCTCCCCCTTTTATCCTCATGACAACCCTGCGAGGTAAGTTAGGATACAGAACCACCCCTCCTGTTTCCTCTCCCATTTCTCAGATCACGGTCTCCGAGTACGACGACCTGCGCAGGGACATCAACTCCATGTACAACAAGGTGACCCTGGGAGAACTACAGCGCATCACACCTCATGTAGGTTTGCAGTTGTATTGGGCCACTTACCCTCTTCGGGAGAGAGCAGTTGGAAGAAATGAGAGGCGTTTTGTGACCCCACTGGTTCATTCCACGCACCCATGGGTCCTGCATTCCACACACATGGGCTGTGCATTCCACAAAAGGGAATGCATTCTACACATGGGTGATGCATTCCACTCATGTGCCATGCATGCCACTCATGGGTGATGCATTCCACTCGTGGGCCATGCATTCCACTTATGGATCATGCATTCCACTCCTTTGTCATGCATTCCGCACACAGGTCATGCATTCCACTCCATGGGCCATGACTGATACAATCAAGCTCCCACTTCTTTAACTGGAGGGTTCAACCCACCTTGACACAGTCTTTATAGACCATGCCATAGCCCCGCCCCTTAGTCAATCAGGAGCCCAGGCTCCCCTGGGTCCTAGCTCTGCTCCTCTCTCTATCAACTCCAAAATGGCTGGATTTGGTTACAGCAGCTTGCTGCCTGTTTCATATGACAGTGATAGGGAATCTGTGGCCCTCCAGGTGTTGCTGGACTCCAACTCCCAGGGGGAATGATGGGAATTGTAGTCCATCAATATCTGGACTACATTCACCATCCCTTTCATGCACAGAATGAACAGTAAAAAAAAAAAAAAGACCCAGTCATATTCAGAAAGATCTGGTCAAAAGGACAGAAGTTACTCGTTGTTTACTGCTGTAACAATTGTTTTCTTGAAATTTATCTTCCGTACCATGAAAATAGATAAAAACAGTATATATATAAAAAGGACAGAAATGGGATGCATTCTGGGAAGCTCTTATTTTTAATCTCCAGTTCAAATGGAAGAGGCTCCTTGACAGAATATTCCATGACAATTTTTCCGAGGACGAGGAGGTGGTTCTGCTGGCCACAGACTACATGCAGAGGGTGTCTGAGCTTATCCACACCACACCTATCAGGTAAGGATGTGGCCTAGAGGAAGCTGGCTTGCTATCTTCAGCCTGGCCTACCTCACAGGGCTGTTGGTCGCAAGGCCGACCTACAGGGAGCGAAACTAACTGGTTGGGAAGTCTCCTTTCTGCAATTCGATGCCCACAGAAAACTGCATGGATCCAGTTTTCCCTCCACCCTGGATCTCTGGAGTCCCAGGAAGACAATAGTCGCCTCAGGCTATGGCCAGAAGATCTCGTGCATACAGGATGCCGTGCGCCACAGCGCACCAGTTTGCAAAAGGTGTTTGCTGGGGGTTCTTGCTGGCCACTCCTTTTGCTGGTTTTAATTGGACCTTTAGCCTCATTACGGTGGCTGTTACTGTGCTCCTGATCCCTTTAGCATCAACCTTTCTTCCACAATTTGCTGTGCTTTCCTAAGCCCAGATTATACATTTAGCAAAAACAAAACAATTAGTCCTTTTTCCCCACACTGCCACTTCAGACTGTCAGGGTGTGGCTTTCTGTGTCTGAATGCTCCCCACCGTTCTCCAAATGATGTGAACTCATTTCCCTGATACGCTAGCTTTCTACATGCAAGGTGGTCCTGCTGGTGGACGACTAAGGTGTTGCAGCCGGAAAAATGATTTTGCCGCATCTGAAAGCATGGGCCTCTAAGGGAAAGAGAGGGAAATGAGGCATATATGGGTTCCTTATTTCCCCTCACCCCACCGGACCAGGATACGCTGCGTCCGAGCCCCCTCCTAAACCGGTTTGCGCTTCTTCTGCTGCAGGATCCTCCACAACTACATGCTGTGGCGCATTGCGGTGGTGCTGAGCGAGCATCTCTCGACGCCCTTCCGAGACGCCATCCACGAACTCGCCAAGGAGATGGAGGGAGCCGAGAAGCAGATGGAGCTGGGAAAAGTGTGCTTGAGCCAGGCCAACAAGCACTTCGGGATGGCTTTGGGCGCTCTCTTTGTGGAAGAATACTTCTCTTCTGCCAGCAAGGCCAAGGTAGGAGCCAGCGCAAGATGGCGGGCGGTGGGCAGGCAGGGTTCTGATTGGGTGGGGGAAAATGCATTCTGGGAGTTTTCAGAGGTGGGAAACCTTTTCTAGCCTGAGGGCCGTATTCAGCCTTCTGAGGGCCACTTTCCAGTGGTGGGTGGGGCTGGGGCCCAAAGAGGGCGTAGCAATGACCTGCCCGCAGACTGTCTCACCAGAGTGGTGCATGCTCTGGTAATCTCCCGCTTGGACTACTACAATGCGCTCTACGCGGGGCTACCTTTGAAGGTGACTCGGAAACTGCAATTAATCCAGAATGCGGCAGCTAGACTGGTGACTGGGATCAGCCGCCGGGACCATTTAACACCAGTCCTAAAGGAACTTCATTAGATCCCAGTATGTTCCCGAGCACAATTCAAAGTGTTGGTGCTGACCTTGAAAGCCCTAAATGGCCTCGGTCCAGTATACCTGAAGGAGTGTCTCCACCCCTATCATCCAGCCTGGACACTGAGGTCCAGCTCTGAGGGCCTTCTGATGGTTCCCTCACTGCAAGAAGTGAAGCTACAGGGAACAACCAGGCAGAGGGCCTTCTTGGTGGTGGCGCCCACCCTGTGGAATGCCCTCCCATCAGATGTCAAGGAGAAGTTTTTAAATGGTTAATGTTTTATTAAGTTTTTTTTATGTGCTGGAAGCTGCCTCAATTGGCTGGGGCAACCCAATCAAATGGGCAGGGTATAAGTTGTTGCTGCTGCTGCTATTATTATTATTATTATTATTATTGAATAGGCTGTCTCTATTTTCATTGGAGGAATGTTGGAGGGCATGCTGTGCTAACTTTGACATCAGTAATAGTATAAAGAGCTCCGACGAGATGCAAGCATTCGAGATCTAAATTGGAACTTGACAACATGGCCTACCATCCATCTTTGCTGGCAGAATCAAAGGCAGCTTTCAAGTCAATAAAGGCCATGATCAAAGCCCTGCTTGTTCTTCTGGAAAAAAAAACATTGTTTGCCTTGGCCTAAGCCTCTGATCGATAAAGAAGGAACTTAGCATACACTTCAGACGCAATGCTATCTATTAAACTGATTGGTCTGTAGTTACTGATCTGTTGTTGTTTTTTATTGCCTTTCTCGTAAATGTGCCTTGGCAGAAGGAAAGCAGATTTTGTTGGCCTTTATTGCCCAAAGCAAGAAGTCTCAGGGGTTTTGAAGCACTGTGTGCGGCTCATTGCAACCCCTGTGCTGTGCTTTGACGTCCCAGCAAAATTTCTTGGGCTAGCCTTGGGTTGCTGGGTCTTCCCCACATCTCTTTGCCCTGAATTGCTTGGAGAACGGCGTGTGTCTTCCATGTTCACTCATGCCACCTTGGGCGACTTCCTTTGAGCAGGTGCAGCAGCTAGTGGAAGACATCAAACACATCCTGGACCGTCGACTGGAAGAATTGGACTGGATGGATGAGGAGACACGGCGGGCGGCTAGAGCCAAGGTAGGGGCAGGGCTGTGTGGGGAGGAACCGAAGAAGAATCTACCCAGACCCAGAAGCCACACACTGAGCATTGTGCCCTAGAGATCAAGAAAGGGCTAGGCCAGGCATAGGCAAACTCCGGCCCTCCAGATGTTTGGGACTACAATTCCCATTGTCCCTGACCACTGGTCTTGTTAGCTAGGGATGATGGGAATTGTAGTCCTAAACATCTGGAGGGCCAGAGTTTGCCTATGCCTGGACTAGGCATATCAGCTCCTTTGTGAGATGATAAAGGGACCAGAATCTAAGCCTGATGAGGAACGGTTGAAGGATCTGGGTATGTTTAGCCTGGAACAGAGGAGACTGAGAGGAGATATGATAGCCATCTTCAAGGACTGTCTCATGGAAACTTATTTTCCTCTGCTCTGGAGGGTAGGACTTGAACTAATGGATTCGTGACAATGCAGGAGATTCCGACTAAACATCAGGAATAACTTTCTGGTGTTAAGAGTTGTTTGACAGTGGAACGGTCTCCCTCAGAAGGTGGACTCTCCTTCCTTGGGCGTTTTTAAGCAGAAGTTGGATTGCCATATGTCATGGGTGCTTTAGCTGAGATTCCTGCATTGCAGAGGGGTTGGGATAGATGACCTTTGGGATCCCCTTCCAACTCTGCGATTCTAGGATTCTATGACTTTGAGAAACCTTTTGCACTCACAACCCAGGAGGCAGAAAGGGAAGGCACTATTTATACATCTATCTATCCATCCATCCATCTATGATTTCTAAGAATATTTATGAACTGCCAGTTCCAGCTCATTAAAAAAAAATTATCATGGCAGTGTACTATAGAATAATCAGAAGGGCATACAAGTATAAAATCACCAAAGGAGAACAAATAACTGACGCTGATTCAAATTAATTCCCGAAAAACACTTGGTGGAACAAAAACATTTTCATGGCTGTTGACGGAATATCAACATGGGAGGTGCCTGTTTGATCTCATTGAGAATGTGCTCCAAATTACTGGTGGTGCTGCACACCAAGCGGCCTTGGTGTGCCTAGAAACAAAATGAAGATGATGTGACATTGGGGCAGTCAGTGTGCTGGGTCCAGGGGTGACCTGAGAAACGCAGTCCAGGTCCAGTCCAGATCCAAGGGTTCCGCTAGGAGTCAGTCCAACAGGGCCAAGGCAGGAAACCAGGCAAGGACAGGTACAGGATCTAGCATACAGCAATGTTGCTCCCGCAACCTGGGGCGGGGTCCAGCAGCCTTTTATCTTTGTCGGGGTAACGGCCAGTCCTGATCCCCCGGCGACTCACCTCCCTGTTTCACCCAAAGGCAAGCACTCCTCCTGCAAGTACTCAGGTCTCTCCATCTCTCAGACCTCAGTCTCTGCAGCTCAGGAGACATCGGTAGGTTACTAAACCCAGAGGTCACCTCAGCCTCCCCTGACCCAACTGGTAGTGGAGCAGCTGTAAGTGATGGCCCAGCTGAAGGCAACGAGGTCATCCCCGCATCTGGAGCCAGGGCAGGCTCAGGCCCCTGACTCGGCCCAGTTGGTGCTTGTTGCAGGGAACCTGTGCAGAATGGGACTCTTCAGAATCAGGCCCCAGACTTGGATCTGATGATGCCTGAGGCAAAGGATCCGGTGCAGACTGAGACTCCTCTGTTCCGAGTCCGAGCCCAAGTCCCAGGCCATCACAGGAAGGCTTCTCCAGATGATCACAGTGATCTGGCCGATGTGTAAGAGACAAGGTGGTCCTTCAAGCAACCCGGCTATGGCCGTGGGGATGCGTTTGGCACAGTGTGCCTCAAATTGTAGGCACTTGGGGAGCTGCCTTCTACTGAGCCACACCCATGGGTCTGTCTATCTAGCTTCATGCTGTCTACACTGACTGGCAGTGGCTCTCCAGGTCTTCAGGCAGGGTTCCTCTGCCACCCATATCTGGAGATGGTGAGGATTGATCCTGAAACCTTCTGCATGCAAAGCAGATGCTCCACTCAGCTACAGACCTCCTATAACCCTCTTATTTTTATTTATTCATTGAATTTATGTCCCACCATTTTCTCCAAGGAGCATACATGGTCTTCCTACTCACTGATCCTCACAACAGCCCTGTGAGGTTAGGTTGGGTTAGAATCATAGAATTGTACAGTTGAAAGGGAAGAACCAGATGCACAAATATAAGATGGGGGACACCTGGCTCGCTAGCAGTACATGTGAAAAGGATTGAGGGGCCTTGGTGGACCACAGGCTTAGCAGGAGTCCACAGTGCGATGCAGCAGTGAAAAAAGCGAATGCTGTTCTAGGCTGCATCATCAGAAGTCTAGTGTCCAGGTCAAGGAAAGTCATAGTACTGCTCTATTCTGCCTTGGTCAGACCACAGCTGGAATATTGTGTCCAGTTATGGGCACCACAGTTTAAGAAGGGAGGTTGACAAGCTGGAAGTTGCGCAGAGGAGGGCAACCAAGATGGTCAAGGGTCTGGAAACCAAGCCTGATGAGGAATGGTTCAGAGGGTCAAGGTCATCCAGCGAGCTTCATGGCTGAGTGGAGATTTGAACTCTGTTCTCCCAGGTCCTAGTCCACCACTCTTAACCACTAAACCAATAGCTATTGTCCTCCACTGCCAGGGTGAAAAAGAGGTGGAGTCGCTAGGGTCCTCACTTTAAGCTCTGACCTGCCTTTAGAAGGTGCAAATGCATTGGGGAACTGGCTTTTATGTAACAGCAGGTTCCCCTGCATTGCTGATCTGGCTCACAGGTTCTTGAGGATGGTCTTGTGCAGGTCCCTCAAGCTCAGGTATCTGAGTCCTGCTTCTCTTGCAGTTGCAGCACATGATGGTGATGATCGGCTACCCAGACTTCCTGCTCAACCCAGAAGCGATTGACAAGGAATACGAGGCAAGCATGCAAGAGCCCAGGCCCACGCTTCCTGGGGTGGGGTGGGAACCTCCCTGGGCAGAGAGTGGCAGCCCAACCAATTAATCAACTAAAGAGTTTTCAGTTGATTGATCACCTGTGTTTAAATAACGGCTGGTGGTAAGTGAGGAAAGAGCCTTCCTGTTTATGGAATTCTTTCCCCAAGGGAGATCACCTAACACTTACATTGATATGTTTTCAGCACTAGGCAAAGACCTTTTTGATTTTCCTGGGCTTTTAACATCAGAGGACTTTTAAGAAGCGGCTTCTATTTTATTCTGCTGTTTTGTTGATTACTGGGTCCGTTCCCCCCCCCAATTGCATTTTTCTAATGGTTTTTTTTTATTGTGTTTTGTAATGGATTTGTTGTTCTCGTCATATGAAGCCACCTTTGTAATTATAAACTGAAGGGCAGCATGCAATAAATAAAAACTGAAATACAGGGAGCTGCAACATTAGCTCACCTGGCCTAGGTAATGTGGTTGTGTGTCCTATTTTACAGGATACAGTCCTGTAAAACACAAGTGGGTCTCAAAGCCTGTGCCAAAGGGTTGCAGGTTTATAAGTAAACCCAAAGTGAATGTTATTTTTGCTCCTTAACTCAGTGGTTTTCAGCCAATGCGCCGATGGTCAGGGGTGCCATGGGCAACACTGGCCTCTGTCCCTCTTTCCTTCCCTCCCTCCTCTAATGCCCTCTTGTGTCTTTGCCTCCCAAAGGCTTGCAAAGCTGTTCGTTGCAGCAGCGCTGGCTATAAGCTCCCCAGGTGAATGGTGCCTCTGGCGCTGGCCAGGGGGTGCTTCCCAGACCCCTGTGGGGCAGTGTGAGGAGGCACTTCTCTTTGGGGCGGCGGGGGGGGGCAACTCAGAGATCAGGGGCGGCAGCTGCAGCTACCCCAAGGACTTTGTTAACGGAGAAATCTGAGGGCTCCCTTGGACAAAAAACAAGGACACCAGCCAGGAATACCAGAGCAAAACAGCAGCCAGTAGGCTTGGTCTTTTTTGAAGACTGTCGCAACAGGACTCCCACCCGCCACGAGGTGGAAGAAGATGGAAGCCCCAAACAAAAGAGCCCCCAAACTTTTATTAGCTGCTAATCCCCATGTTACACCCCCCCAACTACATCACTAATACATCATGGTTACATCATGAAAGGGGAGGTCTGGTGGCAGTGATCTCAGCATCCTGGACCCTGCCCCATGGTTCTCCTTGCCCTCCACCAAACACCCATCAAGTGTAACAAAAGAGATATTTACATTTCCCTGTTTCCCAGCCAAGTTCATCACACCCTTTTGTCTTGATCTGGGTTTGTTATTTCTGGAATGGCTACCTGTCTGGCACTCAGGTATCAGGATGCCAGGGATTATCACTCAGGCAGAGGGCTGCTGAGCAGCTGAGCTCACATGTCTATATGAATTTCTGAAGTTTTCCCAGTGAGCCAGTATATAGATACATTTCTAAGTGAATTGTTACATTTGGTATCATACAGCAAAGGCCCTTTGAATAGACAGGAAGAAACTGTGATGAAGCGTTTTGTGGGGACAAATTACAAAAGTCCCAAAAGTGATTGTGCTGATTTTGGTAGTGGGCTGCATGTGCATGATATCTGCTGGAGGGGCAACCCCCCTCCCAACCTATACATAAATGCCTCTTACAGTTTTTTTGTTTTGCTGGCATATTATAATGCAGGCTGCTGCATTGACAGACACAGGAAGGCTTGAGTCTTGCATTTTAACCCTTGGGAACCTCTCTCTGGCAGCTCATGGCAGATCTCGTAACAGTTCCACATGTTGTTTCCAGTGACTGTTACAGGTCATTTCTGATGCAAGGTGTAATAGCCACTAAAAACAACTCCCTGTACGAGCAGCTTGTGGCAAACTGTCACTGGATCAGCTGCCAAGATTAGTGAACAGATGAGCCAAGGGTAATATGAAGTTTGCTTCATGAAAATAATAATATCTTTATTGTATGTCTGACAACCATCTAAACCTGCACAGGCCAACTCACTGGCAAAATGCAAGCTCAGCGATCCCTCTGATGCTTGCCAAAATTTATTGTGAATAAAACAGAAACATTCATCGTTCAGTGTACCTAACACTGCTTAACCTTTATGCTTTTAGTCTTCTTCTTCTTTGGTGATCACTCATAGCCAAGTAAGATTGTCTTCCATAAACACGGTTTTAATAATAAGTCTGTAAGTGACTGTGGAGGCCAATTCTGGATCCACACATCCTTCCACAGTGGGGACATAGGTTTCCGGGCGGGAGTTGATCAGTGAGGGTTTGCCAAGCGTGCCTTCCTCTTAGGACATTTCTCCCTTGCCGCCTGAGTTCGAGTGTCTTCAAAGCCCATGACACCTTTGGTAAAGGCTGTTCTCCAATGGGAGCGCTTGCAGGCAAGTGGTTTCCAATTGTTGGTGTTTATACGACATTTTTAACGGGACGCGGGTGGCGCTGTGGGTTAAAGCCTCAGCGCCTAGGACTTGCCGATCGAAGGGTCGGCGGTTCGAATCCCCGCGGCGGGGTGCGCTCCCGTCGTTCGGTCCCAGCGCCTGCCAACCTAGCAGTTCGAAAGCACCTTCGGGTGCAAGTAGATAAATAGGGACCGCTTACCAGCAGGAAGGTAAACGGCATTCCGTGTGCTGCGCTGGCTCGCCAGATGCAGCTTGTCACGCTGGCCACGTGACCCGGAAGTGTCTCCGGACAGCGCTGGCTCCCGGCCTATAGAGTGAGATGAGCACACAACCCTAGAGTCTGGCAAGACTGGCCCGAACAGGCAGGGGTACCTTTACCTTTTTATACTACATTTTTAAAGATTTGCCTTGAGACGTTTTATGCACCTTTTGTGCCCTCTTTTTTGGGTGGCGCATAAGTGCCCCACCGTGCTCAGTCCTGCCTACACGAGCAGCTTGCTTCTCTCTGGGGTTTGCAACAGGGGTCTTGAACCTGGGACCTTTTGGCATGTATCACTGAGCTACAACCCTTCCCCAAATCCTTGAGCCTAATTTCACTTGTCTCCTTCCACAGTTTGAGGTCCACGAGAAAACCTACTTCAAGAACATCCTCAACAGCATCAAATTCAGCATTAAGCTGTCAGTGAAGAAGATCCGGCAGGAAGTGGACAAGTCGGCGTAGGTATCCCTCCTTTTGACAGGAAGTGCGTAGCTCAGGCCGGCTTGCGGAGAGCCTGTACCCTGAGTTATCCCAAGCGGGGAGAGCCTAGAAATATTGCACATAAATTCTCACGAAAGCTACTGTGGGGGTCTGAATTTGGTGGTACTTCCAGCACTGGTCCTGATTTGTTTGCAGGGAGGTTAGACATTTGTTACTGATTGAGCTACTGATTGCTTGTGGGGAGGTCAGACACTGTTGCATCAAGCATCATCCCACACTTTCTGTGTATTTTCCTATCTCTGTCTTTCCGGCTTTTCTTTCTTTTTTGAAGTGTGTTTGCTGCACAGGAGTGTCAGATCCATCTCAATTGTGCAATCGGAATTTCTTGGTACGTGATGATGGAATCCCTCTTGGAAACAGGGACAGCCTGGGAGTCACACACACCCCAGTCTCCCCCAACCTTCTTCCTCTTTCTTCCCTTTCTTTGTCTGTTCCTTTCCCCAGGCTTGAGCAACCTCTAGTGGCTGGCAGCAACAGTGCAGGGACGTTGCCGCCTTTGAACCAAACCCGCTACCGAAAAGTATGTTTGAACCAGCCAGTATTCTTCACGCAACACACAAGCAGGTGTTGAGTTCACCCAAGATTGATGGCTTGGACCTGGTTGCTCTGAGAACAGGGTTTCCCAAACTTGGGTCTCCAGCTGTTTTTGAACTACAACTCCCATCACCCCTTGCAAGCAGGACCAGTGGTCAGGGATGATGGGAGTTGTAGTCCAAAAACAGCTGGAGACCCATGTTTGGGAAGCACTGCTCTGAGAACGAAGGAAGTGATTTTGTGAGGACTGGTTCATGAATTTCCATGCAGGCAGAAGCCTCCGAATTCCTGTAGCTGTTTCCGACAGCTGCTACAGGAACCCTTGGAGCACCTGCTTCCTGCTCCCTTAGCACAGGGTTGGGGAACCCGTTGTTGGATTACAACCCCCACCATTCCCAAGCACTGGTCATGCTGGTGGGGACTGATGGGAATTGGAGTCCAACAATATCTGGAGGCTGGCAAGTCTCCCATCTCTTAGCAGCCCCAGCACTGATACTTCCTGCCCCTTCCTTGACTCACCTGTAGTAATAGAAAAGAATTTCAATGTGTTCTCTGCCTTCTGAAGGACATAAGAGACCCCATCTCATTCCTGTGCGGACAGATGTTGTCTTCTGCACCTAACAGTTATTGGGTCAAGCAGGCCTCACCTTGTGCTGCAAATAGACCTCTCTTGATCAAGGTGTGTTTTCTCGTTGCAGGTGGCTGCTGCCCCCTCAGGCACTGAACGCTTATTACCTGCCCAACAAGAACCAAATGGGTATGGACGCATTTGTATTTCTGGATCTCTCGTGGGACTGGATAGCTCATGGGAAAGGGAACTCGCACAGTGGCGTTCATCCCCCCCTCCTTCATTCGCCCGTTGCAGGCGCGAGAGTCAGGAATTTGCATTGCCACGGCCCTGCTATGCGCTGAGGAGCACCGTTCACCTGAAATGCCACCCAAGCTGGCTCCATAGTTAGACTGCTATAGACTGAATCTCAAAATCTCAGCATAGCAGCCAACAAATCTTGCTCTCCACTGGGGTTAGGAATCCTACCTTTATTTGGCAAGGCCGCTCCATACCTACATGACCTATGCAATCACCACCAACGCAGAGCTTTTTCCCTCGCAAGATATTTGCCGTCTGCCGTTCTGCAGGGAAGCTTCTCGAAGGCTCCATATTTGCCGAGAATTTCTGTTCCTTTACCATCTTTGTCTCATTTCTCCTCAGTGTTCCCAGCTGGAATTCTTCAACCCACGCTATATGACCCAGAGTTTCCACAGTAAGTGCTTTCTCCGCACACTGGGAGCGCATCATGGGCTTCTGGAAGGGAAATGGGCGCTTTGTGTGTGGTTCTGCTGGTGGTGATTCAGGCTAGAGCAGCACTCTTGAACCCTGTGTCTCTAGACTCCGTTGGACTACAACTCCCATCATCCCCTGCCAGCTTAGGCAGTGGTCAGGGATGATGGGACTTGTAGTCCTACAACGTCTAGGCAGCCCATGGCTGAAAAATTGTGGGCTGGCAGGTTTCAGTCCAACTCTTCTGTTCTCTTAGGCCAAGTTTTGTGGGATGATAGCCCGTCCCTGGAAAGGAATCCCTTCCTTCATAGGAACACCGGGGCTCTGCTTATTTCACCACACATTTCTGGGAGGGTGAATGAACTGTAAAAATGTGCTCTTCGAAAAATGTGCTGGAAAGTGGCCACGTCTGTTCTGAAGAGAAAGTACCCCCATCGTTCAGCCCGGACACTGAGATCCAGCGCCGAGGGCCTTCTGGCGGTTCCCTCATTGCGAGAAGTGAGGTTACAGGGAACCAGGCAGAGGGCCTTCTCGGTGGTGGCACCCGCCCTGTGGAACGCCCTCCCAGCAGATGTCAAGGAAATAAAGAACTATCTGACTTTTAGAAGACGTCTGAAGGTAGCCCTGCTTAGGTTAGGGAAGCTTTTAATGTTTAACAGAGCACAGTATTTTAACATTTTGTTGGAAGCTGCCCAGAGTCGCTGGGGAAACCCAGCCAGATGGGTGGGGTATAAATAAATTATTATTATTATTATTATTATTATTATTATTATTATTATTATTAGCCTGGGGCAGATTCAGAAGACAGTGCTGACCTGGATCATGCCCCTCTATCCCCTCGCGGATTTCCAGCCTAAAATTCTACATCTGTTGGCGGAATCTGGGCTCTCACCTGTTCCCCAACACACACACACACACCCGTTTCACTGCCACCCCATAGCCCCCAATGCTTTATCTCCAAACTACAGGTCCCTGAATTATGGCGGGATCGGAACGATTATTGGACATGAGCTGACACACGGCTACGATGACTGGGGTGAGCTCCCCCTCCCCCCTCCCTTCCCCAAACCTATTTCGGGGCCTGATAATAATCTCCCCGAACCTTCCCAAAGCCTAATAACCAGGCCAGCCTGATACATTTTGCTGCTTGAGGCAGAAACGTTCAGCTTCCAATTCAATTCACTTTATGGAAGCCAAGCAGACGGGCGGCTTAATATTACTTCAGTATTGCTGATGCGCCTCCTAGAGATTTTTTAAAGCGTTAAATGGTTTCATAAATGATTTTTAATAAATGGTGGGTCGGCACCATCCTCTCACACCTGAGGGAAGCAGGTTAGCTTAGAAGAGGGTTTCCCAAGCTTGGGTCTCCAGCTGTTTTTGGACTACAGCTCCCATCATCCCTGACCACTGGTCCTGCTAGCTAGGGATGATGGGAGTTGTAGTCCAAAAAGAAGCTGGAGACCCAAGTTTGGGAAACCCTGGCTTAGAAGGATCATGGTGGGAAACCCACAGGTTTGTCCTTGAAACACCTTGCCAATGCTGCCTGCCCCCCACAATCTGCCACCTGAGGCAGTTGCTTCACTCTGCCTCACAGTAGGGCCGGTCCTGGCCTGGTTTGAAGGGAAGCCTTGCAGCTGCTCCCACAGAGACTGCAAATGTCTACCAGAGGCCATCCATTTTCATTCTTCCATCTGCACAATGGGGCACAGAACAGGCATGCATCCCCAAAACACAAAACCCTTTCCCTCACTCATAAATATGGGCCCTGTATGAACTAGCTGTTGATCCTTGCCTCCTCATTTTTTTCAACTTAAGTTTGAATATGCCCATCATGGACCTCTGGACTCAGCGACGTCCTATATTCTTAATATTTAAAAATATGTTTATGTCCCATGGCTAGGTCTGTTCTAAGCCTTATCTGAGCTCCCCCTCCCTTGGCAAACACCCGGCCGACCAATGAATTATTTCCGTAAACACTTGAGCGTTCTTGATGCTTGTTCTCACGTTACACTGAACCCAGGTACAAGCTTTCTCTACACACGTGCAAGGGTTTTCTTTGAAAGAATGGACACTTTGCGGATGCACGCAGCTCGGCTCTTGTGTGCCCAGGTACACAAAGCGTACACTCATTGAACGTTATGTGTGGATAACCCGCAGGATGCTTATAACATGTGAACACTCCTGCAGTCAAACCACAATAGAACTGCAGCCTCTTCCCCCTGTAGCAGCAAAATCTCTGAGGTCACCCTTGTGCCTGACCCTTATCTGTCCCGCTTTGCAGGAGGCCAATACGATCGCCATGGCAACCTGATGCACTGGTGGACCGACTCGTCCTACAGCAAGTTTCTCAAGAAGGCAGAGTGCATCGTCAACTTGTACGACAACTTCACGGTCTACAACCAGAGGGTGAGCTGGGGTGTGCAATGCCACCTTTACCCGGAAGGGGAAGAGCTCCTTTGCAAAGAGTCCGCCGTAGAACCCGAAACCCGTATTTGCAGATATGCTGTCCATGTTTTTAAAAGATGGAATTTTGGGACCTCGCATCTGCATTTGCCCTTTGACTGTGACATTTCCCCACAATATCCAAATATCGGCTTGTTATTTAAGGCAGGCATCAAATCTCAAACACACCCACCCAACCCGCTCCAGAAGCTGTCAAAATTCTGAATGGCGTGGTACATCATCACTCAAATCCAGTTCGATATTCAATACTATCACAGCATGGCTATCAAATAATGTTATCAGTAGGTGGATATCAAATATTCTGGAAATGAACAACAGATATTGGGCATGCGTTCACATAACTAGAGAATATTTGATGGGACCCACTTAATTTGATGGGACCCACTTAAAAATTGTATTTTTAATACAATCAATTAAATTAATGATAATGAAAATTTGCAGAGGAGAATTCGAGGAACAAATTTATTACAGCTCTGATCGCTGTAACCAGGCGTGTCCTCTTGGGAGAGTCAAAAGTCTGGAGTCCACTGGAGAGCCAGTAATGATTACAATATCAGACTAGAACCTGGGAGACCTGAGTTCAAATCCCCACTCAGCCATGGAGCTAAACTGGGTGACCTTGGGCCCGTCATGACCTCTCCGTCTGGCCTACCTCACAGGGTTGTTGTGAGGATAAGATGGAGAGGGGGGAGACAGGTGCGTATGCCAATCACCCTCAGCACCTTGGAGAAAAGGCAGGGTGCAAATCTCATAATAAATAAACAGAATAGATGAATAGGGATTGTGCCCTTAGTACCTTCCTTCTATTTGCCAGGCTATAGGAGGCAGCCAATGGGCAAGAGGAAGGGTTACGCCACCCCTGAAGGAGGGCGGACCTGTATTTAGGCCTACTATCATATAAGTTAAAGCCATGGTTTTCCCAGTAGTGATGTATGGAAGTGAGAGCTGGACCATAAAGAAGGCTGATTGCCAAAGAATTGATGCTTTTGAATTCTGGTGCTGGAGGAGACTCTGGAGAGTCCCATGGACTGCAAGAAGATCAAACCTTTCCATTCTGAAGGAAATCAGCCCTGAGTGCTCACTGGAAGGACAGATCCTGAAGCTGAGGCTCCAATACTTTGGCCACCTCATGAGAAGAGAAGACTCCCTGGAAAAGACCCTGATGTTGGGAAAGATGGAGGGCACAAGGAGAAGGGGACGACAGAGGACGAGATGGTTGGATAGTGTTCTCGAAGCTACCAGCATGAGTTTGGCCAAACTGCGGGAGACAGTGGAAGACAGGAGTGCCTGGTGTGCTCTGGTCCAGGGGGTCACGAAGAGTCGGACATGACTAAACGACTAAACAACAACAACATCATATAGACAGACTTTTGAGTAAGAAGCAAATGCCCAGTTGTTCTGTATGGGACAATGACAATAAAGATTATCGTATCATATCGTACCGTGTCAGTGGCAGAACAAAGTTCTACAGTTACCATGGCATTTGGAAGTTGGCATCTTGGTGCCAGCTGGCAATTTCCAAAGTGGCTGCATTTGCTGAACTAGACGTCACATCTCGGTCACCCAGCAATCAGCCCTGGATGCCAGCCCTGGAAAGGGGCAATTGAATGTTTGCCCAACGCCCAGCTGTTAAAGGCAGGGGAGCCCCAGGCACTAAAAAGGTGGCAATCCAACTTTGGGGATGTGTGGGAGCACGCTCAAGCCCTCCGCAGGGGCACTCAAGCCTTTATATGAACACATAGTGTTGGGTGAAGTGTAAGGAGGGAGGAACAGGGGTTGGGCGAGGCGTTTTCAAAGGGTGAGGCAGGAGAGGTTGACAAGAGTGGTGAGGAGATTCGAGGGCAAAGAAACAGGGATTTTCAACTCTGACAAATAAGAAAGACCAGGAAAGAGAAAGGTTTCTTTGTGTTGATGAGATGAGAGTTTGTTTGTCTCAAATTAGACCAGATATAAACGAGATTACCCGGCAAAGACAAGCTCACACCTCCCATTGAGTTCATATACAGTGTTACCTCTGGTTGCGAACGGGATCCGTTCCGGAGGCCCATTCGCAACATGAAAAGAATGCAACCCACAGCAGCGCATCTGCGCACGTGCGGGTTGCGATTCGCCGCTTCTGCGCATGCGTGTGACGTCATTTTGCGCGTCTGCACATGCACGAGTGGCGAAACCTGGAAGTAACCCTTTCCAGTACTTCTGGGTCACCGCGGGACATAACCTGAAAGAACGTAACATGAAGCGGACGTAACATGAGGTATGACTGTACATACTTCAGGTGCATATGTAAGATTTATATTTTGGGAATAGTTTGTGTTCTTATGTTGCTGCATTGTTTTATACTTTCTGGGCGTCTCATGATCCTATTATAAAGCAGTTGCGTACTGTGCTATCAATTAAGCACGGAGAGGATTTGATTCTTTTTGTTTCCCAGTGTTTTCCTTATCGATAAAAAATTGGTGCTGCCCAGAGAAACAAGTTTGAGGACCTCTGTTCTCAATACTGGGGTTTTGTGGGATGGTGGAAAGGAAGCATTTCCAATCCTAACTCAGCTGTCTGTCTGTCTGTCTGTCTGTCTGTCTGTCTGTCTGTCTGTCTGTCTCTCTTACAGGTGAATGGGAAGCATACCCTTGGGGAGAACATTGCCGATATGGGGGGACTTAAGCTCGCCTACTATGTAAGTCCCGCCCCCCGAGGGAAGAGGAGTTCCCAGTCACATGTGCAAAGTCCACCCAACATGGTGTCTGCCTGACATCTTCCCAAGCTCAGTTTGGCTGACAGACCCGTGCAAGAGTGCTTTTCACACAGCGCCTAGTTAACTGCGGAACTCCCTCCCACAGTAGGCTGTGATGGCCACCAAATTTGAGGGCTTTAAAAGAGGATGAGATGATTTCATTGGAGAGCAGTCTCTCCACAGCACTCCACCCCACCGCGGTTTCACCTCACTTTGATTTGTATCCCGCCTTTCTGCGTTGCTGAAGAAACTGCAAAATGCACACAGAGATTGCACATCTTCTAGCAATCCTAAACAAATAATCCATAGTATAAAAATAATAATAGGACTATAAAAACAACAACTTCTACCTAATGAAGGAATACTCAATCGTCCATTAGAATGTAAAGGTATGCAATAAAATTAACTCTCAAAACTTAGGCAGGTAATTATTTAACAGAATTTCACTCTCAACCATTATGGCAAATCGTTACTAAATTATAATGGATAAGAAATAACAGCAAAGAGTCTTAAAAGAGCCAGACGTTTGCAGATACAGATGGCACCGAAGGACCGTGTTCCTCACTATTTGTATAAGAAACACAATTGTTAAGATTTTTATACCCTGCTTTTCCCCCTGTCAGGGACTCAAGGCGTCTTACAGACAACAAATAAGAATGCCTTAAAAACACAGGGGGGAGAAACTAGGACTCAAAAGCTCTGCCCTTTGGGTACTTTAGTAGTAGTAGTAGTAGTAGTAATTTATTTATTTATACCCCAGCCACTCTGGGCTGCTTCCAACAGAATATTAAAATACAATAGTCTATTAAACATTAAAAGCTTCCCTAAACAGGGCTGCCTTCAGATGTCTTCTAAAAGCCTGGTAGTTGTTGTTCTCTTTGACATCTGGTGGGAGGGCGTTCCACAGGGCGGGTGCCACTACCCAGAAGGCCCTCTGCCTGGTTCCCTGTAACTTGGCTTCTCGCAGTGAGGGAACCGCCAGAAGGCCCTCGGCGCTGGACCTCAGTGTCCGGGGAGAACAATGGGGGTGGAGACGGTCCTCCAGGTATACTGGACCGAGGCCGTTTAGCAATTTCACCTTTGGGGAGGGTCCTGCAGGGAGGGTTGGGGAGTGGCCACCTCATTTTGCTGAGCAAGACTTTCTCTTGCAGGCCTATCAGAAGTGGGTACGGGAAAACGGTCCCGAGAACCCTCTCCACCCTCTCAAATACACCCACGAACAACTTTTCTTCATCGCTTTTGCCCAGGTAAGGCCTGCGTGCACGGGGAATGATTACTTGGGGTTACTGGATCAGACCCCAAAGGCTTGAGCAAACGCTGCTGCCCTGTCTCATCAGACTGAGGCGTCTCCAAAGCATTCTCAACTCACTAATGCGCCCTTCAGCATCCTGGCTCCCAAGCAGATGTTCTGGACTACAACTCCCATCAGCCCCTGCCAGGAGTCCAAGCCATCTGGCAGAGATCCAGGCTGGTGAAGGAAAGGTTATACTCAGCAGCTTACAGGAGGGGTGGCCCAGATCCTTATCAGGATCAATCTTGTGAGCCAAATTTGACAGGTGTGATGTTTAAAGGAGAGAAGGCTGCATCAAAGAGCACTTTTGCAAAGAGCTTTTGCAAAAGTGCAAAGTGTGCTTTTGCAAAGAGCTTAAACAGTTTTACTGTTCTAGTTTTCAGCCTCTGGAGACTGAAAGGGGAGTGGTGTGTGTGTGTGTGTGTGTGTGTGTGTAAGTTTTAATGACCTTTAGCTTGAGGGCATTCTGGCAACGCGAAATGGCTGCCGTCCAACTCTGCTATTGCCACAGACAGCAGCAAAAAGCTAAGAAGGAAGAGAGGAAGGGAAAAGGAATCAAAAGCGAATGCAATTTTTAACAAATGAAGAACAAACTAAATCATTTCGATAGCAAAGGGGAGGGGAGGGATTCATGCGCACCTGTTCCCGCCTTTCCTAACGTTGGCCAGAGACCCCTGCTGCTACCACCATTGTGCCACACAAAGGCGTTTCTGGTGGAGGGCTGGAGCGGGCTGCCTGATCTCTAAGGCAAAGAGGCTTGAGACACTGGCTAAGAGCCCTGGGCCCTCCCAGGCAGCCTCACCTTGGAGCCACAGACTGGACCTTCCCTCCCCAATCTCTGACAGATTCAGTCTCCCACTTCTCGCTTCTTCTCCCTGCAGAATTGGTGCATCAAACGGCGCTCGCAATCCATCTACCTGCAGGTGCTGACTGACAAACACGCCCCTGAACACTACAGGTACCTGGGGGGGTGTGCGTATGCGTGTTTGTGTGCAAGAGGAGGGGACAGGAAGGAGAAGGGCCGGCTAAGGGATGCCGTTTGGGTTTGGCTTGCACTGGCTGCCCATAAGCTATGGAACCAGGTTCAAGGTGCTTGCATTACCGTATTTTTCGCTCCATAAGACGCACTTTTTTCCTCCTAAAAAGTAAGGGGAGATGTCTGTGCGTCTTATGGGGCGAATGCACTGGGCAGCAGAGGGAGCCCTTGGCTACCACTGCAGTCATGAGCTGAGGGATGCCTCCACAGCCGGAGCCATGGCTCCTGTCCATCACTTGCTGTGAAGCCAGCAGCTATCGCTCTTGCACTGCTGGCTTCAGCGAGAGTGATAGCTGCGCAGCTTGCTCTGCTGGCTTCACAGTGAAGCGGGAGGAGGGATGGACGGGAGCAAGCAAAGCAAGATCTGCCTACATGGCTTCTGTCCTACTTTGCGCAGCTCTCACTTTGCTTGACCATCCCTCCTCCCTCCTCGCTGTAAAGCAAGCACAGCACCTGTCTCCTCCTCTTTTACAGCGAGGCGGGAGGAGGGATGGGCAAGCAAGGTGATCGCTGCGCAAAGCAGGAGAGAAGCCATGTAAGCAGCCCTCACTTTGCTTGCTTTAAAGCAAGAAAAGCCAGAGCCACTTACATGCTCTGCGCAGAATATTTTCTAAAAACTAGGTGCGTCTTATGGTCAGGTGCATCTTATGGGGCGAAAAATATGGTAATTTACAAGGTCCTTGACAGCTTGGGTCCAGAATACCCCAGGGACCATCCCATCCCATATATTCCTGCTCGACCTCTGAGGTTTTTGCAGGAATCCCTGCTTGGATGAATGGGTCATATCTACCAGGAGTTCTGTGTTTCGTATTGTGGGCCCAATTTTGTGAAACTCCCTTCTTGTTGAGATCAGGCAGGTCCCCTCTCTGTTGAACGTCCGGCACTTCCTAAAGACTTTCATTTCATTCCAGCAGGCTTTTTTAAAAATAAATTTATTTATTTGGGTTTTTCAAATGAAAATTTTACAATAACATAACAATTTACAATATAGAAACAAGATTCCACAGAATCTCCTGGGCTTCCCTCCTCTGTGGCTCCTATTCTTAATCATTTCCTCCTGCACCTTCTATAATAATCCAAATCTTTTGCAACTCCTTTATGTCCAAAATTCACCATTAAGCTACAGGTGTTATTCCAATCCCACTAACGATTTTAGCTGCTTACAATGGTTTTTAAGATAGATCATAAATTTTCCGTATTAAAATTCTGGTCTTCCTGATTTCTGAGTCTTCTGGTCATTTTTGCTATTTCGGCATAGTCCATCAACTTGATCTGCCATTCTAGGGACTTTTACTTCTTTCCATCTCCAGCAGGCTTTTCAAAAAACTGAGTTCTGAATTTATAGTTTTGACTCATTTTTATGCCTACTGTATTATGGCTCTTGTACATTGCTGAGATTAAGTAGAGCACAGATTGTTGATACAAAATAAATAAAACATGGGCAGTCTCGTGTTCCGAGAGCCTTGCTTGCCAACCCACAGTTGACGGTCGCCCTATGTGGTCTCCTTGCTTGACCGCTCAGCAAATTTCCCCTGCCAGGCTGGGGGCATCCCTGGTAGACCAGCCTTTCCTCTAAGACAGGCATCCCCAAACTCGGCCCTCCAGCTGTTTTGGGACTACAATTCCCATCATCCCTGACCACTGGTCCTGTTAGCTAGGGATGATGGGAGTTGTAGTCTCAAAACAGCTGGAGGGCCAAGTTTGGGGATGCATGCTGTAAGAGCAGGCAGGCCAATATCCGAATTTGGGACATGGTGTGTTTGCATGTTGAACGAGGCAAGAGAAACCTTCAGGCCATCAGCTTCAGAAAAGGAAATGGGCGTGTTTTGGATTCTGATTTGAGAGATGCACTGCTTTGGGGAATGACACACACAGAGAGAGGGGTGAAGGCCTATGAGAGATTTCATACCTGAGTCAGATGGAAGCCGGGGAATAAATGGAAATAAATTTAGATTAGATAGGATAGATTAGATGGCCCTTTGGGTTCCTTCCAAATCTTCTATGATTCTAATATTCTAATTCTTTGGAGCTGCCAGGGGCTTAAATCTGAAACAGTTCCCTCTCAGCTGTCAGGGTGCAGCCACCAGATCTTGAGAAGATGGAGCATAGAGTGAATCTGAGCATGTGAAAAGTGCTTCCCTCTTTCTACCAAGCCCCTGCAGCCAGCCTCCATGTGAGGAATCAAGGGTTGCAAAACAGGGGAGGCATCTTAGGTGCAGTCCTAGGAGGCAACGCCTCTCCTTTTATACAACAATCCTTCACAGGCTTTCGTGGCTGCCGTTGCGTCATTCCTCTCTTCTTTCCCTCTCCCCTGTAGGGTCCTGGGCAGCGTCTCGCAGTTCGAGGAGTTCGGCCGGGTCTTCCACTGCCCCAAGAACTCGCCCATGAACCCGGCTCACAAATGCTCCGTCTGGTGAAAGAGCCGCCCGCTCCAACCCACCCCTGGCGTTTGCCGAAACGCTCGCCGGGCTCAGTCGCCACCACTCTAAACCTCGTTGCCCACCGGCTGGACAGAGAAAAATGAGGGAAACACACACACTCACACACACAAACACACCCTGTTGCTCCGAGCTGGCCCCGTTCTCAGGGACCAACATGCACACCGACAGACAAGGGCCATTATTTTGGGAGGTGGGGATGGACCGACTCCTGCAGAAATTGGGCACTCTTCTCCCCAAGACCTCACACAGACCTCTGTGCACACCTGTGTCGCTGCTTGTTGGGAGAGGAACAGCCAAACTCAGGCAAGGCCACCCAAGAGAGGACACTACAGCCAAGCCAGATGGAGGTGGCAAACATGAGGCCTGTTTCTCCAACCAAATCTGGGAAAACAAAACAAAACAAAACAAAACAAAACAAGATGGCGGACGAGGCCAAACCAAGGTGCCTCCTAATTTCCCCTCAAAGCTCCAGATCTCCTCTCAAGCCCAGCTCATCCCCCAAACTCTCCTTGGGTGCTGGAAATATTGATCAGGGCCTTCTCTAAAATGGTCAGTAGGCCTGGCAAGGGGCAGCTGTGGCTCAGGGACACCCACCTGCCCCAAGCTGCCCACCCTGGCATGCCACGCACCACCTGTCCCCTTCTCCCCTGCGCAAAAGCACACCAGGGAATGCAGGCCATGTAGATATTTGGGGAGGGGGGAGGACCAGGGTGATTTCTAGGCAAGCACTCATCCTGAACTGCCTACACAAAAATCGCAGGGAGGTTATACGGCACCCCCGTTCCGTCGAGCCTTTATTTTGATCTGTTTGCAGGGAGGTTATACATAATCGCGTCAAGCAATTGCTATCCCATACTTTCCAGCACATTTCTCCTTGCTGCAAAAAAAGGTCAATCTTTTTTTTAGATGGGGACAGATTCATTGTGGAAGGAGGCCGGCCCAAATGCAACCTGAGTTTGCCGACAGGCTATCGACTCCTGTCTGCAAAACAGTGAGAGTCTGGAGGCAGGCTGGCATGGTCAGCTGTGTGGCCAACCGCACCCCCCACCCCACCCCAATCTCCCAAACCCTTCACATACACTCCTAGCCAGCAGGTGGCGCTGTCTGGGCTGTAGGGCTAAGTGGCTCTTTGTACAGAAAATGTCGCGCTGTATTTTTCTGCTGCTGATCATGTCGAATTAAAAGGCCAGAGCTGTTTTGTCTGCATGGGCAAAGGGGTGTGATTTATTCGTTGGGCTTCTTGCAACCCTCCCTTTCCCAAGGGCTTGGAGGAGACGCCAACCTGCTATCTATGCTACCTCATCCTTTAATTTAATTTAATGAATCAGCAGAATTGAATTAAAATGTCTTGCTTAGGAACATCAGAAGAGTGCGCAGGATCAGGTCTGTCTAGTCCAGCATTGGACTCGATCCCAATAGCACTCTCCCCTCCTCTGGTTTCCAGCAACTGGTATGCAAAAAGTTGCTCCCCCCAACAGTGAAGACAGGAGGACACAGCCATTGAGGTTAGTGGCCACGGATAGGCTTATCACTTATGTCACTTCCAGAAGATGCTTGGGCTCAGAATTTGTTGATTCTCTGGGAGGAAGAATTCCAAGATGGAGGCGCAGCCAATCAGAAACCAAAACAGCCGATTTCTGTGCTCCTCTCAGGCTTCGGGGAATCCGCTTCCTCCCCCCAGGGCCGTAAATGAGCAGATCAAACAGTTACCAGTTAGTTTCTTTAATAAACACAACAAGGGACAAAAAAAAAAAAGCATCTGACTAGAATAGTGGTGCTCCCAATTAAGTTCACTCCCTGGTCCATCCCTATTAATCTACATCACTTCTACATCTTGTAATCTGAGCTTGGAGCCTCTGTATTTCTGTTCTGACACTTTCTGAACTCTCCAGGACTTTGGGGGAAGGGGGTGGATACTATCCAGAGACCGTGAATCTGTTGACTCTCTCTCTTCTAGTGTTTCTTCTGCTAGCTGTTCCCCATCCAGTATTTCCCAGCTTCTGCCTTCTGAACTAAGCCCCTCTGCAAACCACTGTTCCAAATCTATACTGTCCTCCTGCTCCTGGGAAGATTCAGGATCAAGGGGAGAGGGTAGCTCCCACCATTCTTCCTCAGTGCAGCCCTCCTCATCATGGTCCCTGGCAGCTCCCCTGCAGTCCTGATCTGGAGCACAGGTGGTTATTTAAGAGACCATACCCAGTCAGACATGGCAAATCCAGGTGGAAGTGTGATGGTTGGGTTAGGAAGCATCACGTCACATCTCCACGATGACTGGCATGGAGTGAAGAATCAGCTGGTGGGAAGGAGCCTGTCAGCTGCCCAAGGAACCTCTCCTTTCAAACTGCACAACACACACACACACACACACACACACACACTACTCCAGCCTCTATCAATGCTAGTAACAGTGATTACGAGAAAGGGGGGATTGAGGCACTGCAGGGTTTGAGCATCGCTTGGCATTCTAGAAGCTGGGCATGGTCTCCCTGTGGCATTCATGGCATCATGCCTTTGGTGCACTACCACCCACCATTCAGGTCTAGGTAGGAGAGCAGCTCTCAGGTCTGAAGTTGAGCATGTCACCCTCTTTTGAGGCACCACAGTTCCTCATTCTGACTCCTAAGCACCTGGAATCCTTGGAATCTCACACTGCTCAGAGATTGGGGGGTAGTGTGAAACACTGGTGTCAGAAGTGGAATTCATGTTTCCTTGAAATGAGGGATACCCCTGCATGTACTTCTGCATGTTCACACCATGACTGGAACTGCCAACCCCACTTTTGATGGAACAAGATGGAAGACATTCATTGATTCAGCCTTCAACAGGATGGAGAACACTTGTTTAGCTTAAGAAGCGAAGCTCTTGAGGGTGTTTTCTACGTGGCATCAGAGTTGGAAGCGCTGTCCAGAGGAGAGAAAGAGGAGAGAGATGTACCCTGAGTTGTTGTCCAGGGGAAGATTAACAGGCCCAAAGGAGCAAGGAGGCCAAGAGAAGAGTCACCAAGGCGGGCTTTCTCAACCTGGCAGAGTTAAAGTCCAGGCCGTTATCCTGGTATGGTTCTATGCCAGCAGCGTAGGCCATGACATGGGCAACAAACGTCTGCTCCTGCACCCCATGGAATAGGTGAGCCATGGGGCCCTTTGCCAAGATGGCCACATCCTCGCCCCCATGGGTTTCCGAGTCAAGGGGCACCGCAGCTTGCTGGTGGTAGTCGTCACGCTCTACAGAGAGGAATGGAAGAACATAAGAAGAGGTTGCAGGATCAGGCCAGGGCCCCTCACAGAGGCCAACCAGATGCCTGGTGGAAATGCCTGTGGCTTCCAGCAACTGGTTTTCAGAAGCATTACTGCCTAAGGCTGCGAAGGACACTGGACAGGCTTAGGGTCTAGGCCACACATAATGTGGAAGATCAGTAACAGGATCTCCCTGAGTTTTGGGGGATGGGTGGGTATTACTTTAAAGCAAGTATGGAGTGGAGGGTTAAGCTTTAATGTGGATTGGTGCAACAATAAGTGGGTGGAGGCGTTTGAACCTCAGATCTGAAAAATGGCGTAAAGGTAAAGGGACCCCTGACCATTAGGTCCAGTTGTGGCCGACGCTGGGGTTGCGGCGCTCATCTCGCTTTATTGGCTAAGGGAGCCAGCGTACAGCTTCCGGGTCATGTGGCCAGCAGGACTAAGCTGCTTCTGGCGAACCAAAACAACGCACAGAAACGCCGTTTACCTTCCCGCCGGAGCGGTACCTATTTATCTACTTGCACTTCGTGCTTTCAAACTGCTAGGTTGGCAGGAGCAGGAACCAAGCAACGGGAGCTCACCCCGTCGTGGGGATTTGAACCGCGACCTTCTGATTGGCAAGTCCTAGGCTCTGTGGTTTAACCCATAGCGCCACCCGCGTCCCGGAAAATGGCATAGGGAGGGTTAAACACTAGCCTTGAATGTTGACCACACGCCCTGTCCAGCCACCCCCTCCCCAGGCCTCCGCAATTCAGCAGCGACATCCCTCTTACCGCTCTCTTCTTCGGTCAAATTGGGGCGGCCCTGGCTGGTGATCTGGTAGCCCGGCCCGTTCCCATACACGATGGATGTGTACGCCTTCCTGTCTGCTGCTAATGCAGGGGCCAAGCCTGTGGAGGGAGCGTAGTGGACAGTGAGGAATCTTCTTTCCAGGCCAAGGGCCGGTTTCCTTTCTGGGCAAGCTCCCAAGGGCCGAATTCCAGTGGGGCCAATGGCCAATGGCAAAATTGGGTGGAGCAGGGCATGCCCATTCTGCCTTTGTGTGTTAGGCTGCTTTCTACACACACTCGCACGCACCCCTCCCTAACCCCCGTCCAGACAAGCGAGAGGCATGGTCTGAGTTCAAGGGCACATTCCAGCCAGGCAAAAACACCCATGGTGTGAAGCAGAGCCACTGAAAGGCACGACCCAAGGAGAGGGTGATGAGGAGGGCCAGACAGAGCTTGTGGACTCTCCTTTCTTGGAGGTTTTGGGTGGCCGTCTGTCATGGATCCTTTAGCTAAGATTCCTGCATCGCACGGGGTTGGGCTAGATGACCCTCGGGGGTCCCTTCCAACTTGACGATTCTATGCTTTTATCCCTGGAGGGCCACTCAGCCTGTTAGTTCATCTAGTTCAATACTCTGAGCAGCAGAGGCTCTCCAAGATCTACAGCAGAAGTATTTCTCAACTCTACTAGAAAACATCTTTTTTTTTCCCCCTAACTGGGGATGCCAGGTATTGAACCTGGGACCTTTGGCAGGCGAAACCCAGGCTTTGGTCTCTAAGCCATGGCCTTTCTGGACGCAGCCCAAGAGGCTGTGCATCCTCACTGCATTGTTACCACCATATTCTTCCAGCGGTTTGGACCACGGTTCTGAAGACCTTTGGAAAATAGACAGCTGCCTTATGTTTAGCCTGGAAAAGAGGGGACTGAGAGAAGATCTGAGAGCCATCTTCAAATATCTCAAGAGCTGTGACGTGGAAGAAGAGGGAGCAAGCTTGTTTTCTGCTGCTCTGGAGGGGAGGACATGTACCAATGGCTTGAAGATGCAAGGAGATTCCGACTAAACATCAGGAAGAACTTTCTGACATGAGGAGCGGACCAACAGTAGAACGGTCTCCCTTGGGAGGTTATGGGCTCTCTTTCCTTGGAGCTTTTGAAGCAGAAATTAGGTGATCATCTGTCGTGGATGCTTTAGCTGAGATATCCCCATTGCAGAGGGCTGGACTAGATGACTCTCAGGGTCCCTTCCAATTCCACAATCCTAAGTCAGGCCAACGGTCCATGTAGCTCTGCATTGCCTGCACTGGCAGGCAGTGGCTCTCCAGGGCTTCAGAATGGGCTTCCTCAGTCCTATGTGAAGATCCTACAGGACCTTCTACATTCCAGGCAGGTGTTCTAACCCTGATCTACGGCCCTTCCCCCCCCCACACACACACTTCCAGCTGAGCCCACCAGAACCAGAACTGACGGGTTCATCACCAGCCCCATACCGAAGATGGAGGAGCCTCTCAGCGTGTAGCCGCCAAAGCCAAAGACGTGGGAATGGTCAGCGGTCACCACAGTCAAGGTGTCGGCTTCTTGCGTCAGCTCCCCTGCCCGCTGGACAGCTTTGTCGAACTCCACTGCCTCGGTGAGAGCCTGCTTGGCAATGCCGTTGTGGTGTCCCAGGTCAATCTTGCCTCGTGCGGAGAAAAGGGCAACTTAGAAGGAGAGAGATCAGGGAAAACACCTGCAATCGCCCCAGCTAATGGATCCCCCTTTCACTGAGCTGTTTACAAATTTTTAACTACAAGATCCCAGTCTGCCTACCACCCAAACCCTGGTCAACGCAGCCCAGAAGATGCCCCAACTTATCTTCAACAAAGAGGTAGAATCCCTCAGGGTTGCGGCTAAGGATCTTTAAGGCGACCTCAGTCATCTCCGCCAGAGATGGGTCGGTCTGATTGTTGCGGACCAGCTCATATTTCATGTCGCCAGGTTCAAAGAGGCCTGGGGATGACAGAGAGAACAACAGCCTGTTCTAAGTGCATCATGGCAGAAAGGACTGTTTTGAGGCGTGTTGAGTGAGAGGGTGTCCAAGAGTCAGCTGGCAGTAAATCACACCATTCAAAGCTGGAGTTATGTCTTTATTAGCAATAACATGATCTCTGCAGACTTGGCTGAGTGTCAGGCCTAATGAGCACAGCAGCTCATCCCCATGGGTCT